AAACTGATATCTCAAAGAGGTTTTGAGTTAGAACCATTACAGGGTAGCTGCCCAGTTCAATCGGCTTCATCAGTTCTTCATTTTTAAATGCGTTTCTGTTTTCGAAACAGCATTTTTCGAATTGTTAAGTCATGAAAAACTTTCCTCTTGCAAATCGTCCATTCCCCTCTGTAAATGGCGATAATATCGAAAATGTTAAAGATACAATGCATGAAAATCGTCGTGTTAGCGTCAGAGAAATGCAGAAACACGAGGCTTGGATTTATGAATATGACGTCAAAACTGTCCAACAATGTAGCTAATGGCGTACCAAAACTGAGCCGAAACCGAAAAAATCAAAATTCGATAAAGCCACTGAAGACCCTCCTAGCCGTGGCTTATAACAAGTATATGGAAAATTGTATGAAAATTATTGGCTCAGGAATTTGTTTTGAAGGCGTAATGAAAATTTGTATTAAAATAGGTGCAAATGTATTCTTTGTCGTTAGTCAGTCAAATTTGATCAGTTGGTATGTATAGATCAAATAGCTCAATATTCAGCAGTCACATGTGTGGCAATGGTAGCCTCAACTTTTTATGGCTTCACTAAGCTTTCATCAGCAGGTATAGTTTGGCTACTTGCCGTGTTTCATCAATCAACATTTTACGTAAAACTTGCTTTGTAAAACTTAATTTGCTCTTTTTTCGTTTTTTGCGGGATCTTTTTTTGGTTTTGATTGCCACAAGCCTGCAGGCAATCCAGCGCTAATTTTCTTCCTCAAGTATACCATCAGTTAAAGTTGCTAAGCGCTAAGTTAATTTACCGGCTGAATAATAAGTGAAATAATAAAGTTGTATGAGTTTTTGAAATTAATTCTTGCATTTGTGTTTTTTATACCTTAAGCAGGGTATAATAAGTTTGACACGTGTATAAATGACCTCGAGCTAGTTCCTCAGTTTTAGAGTTACCGATTTGAAATTTTGCACCCGTTCTTTTCTCTCCAAGAAACTTCACACTTATCAGAAACACTATCATAGGGCCACTATAGCATAAAGCTGTCATACAAACTAAACGATCGGTATCAAGTATTTGTATGGAAAACTTTTGAATTTGACGAGATAACTACACGAAATTCAGCATGGATTATTGCTCAAGGCAATGGTGCAATTTTCGTAGAAACTTTTCAGATCGGAGCACTATAGCATACAGCTGTCATACAAACTAACCGTTGAAAAAATCAAGTTCTTTAAGGCAACTTTTGTGTTTGTGAAGGGTATTATAGCTTCTATGCAACCGCATTTAAGGTTTTTACTTGCTTTTAATATTTCTTATTGTTGTTTGTTTGCCGCTTGGAGGCGCATATTGGACGCGTGTGTTGGCACGGCTGCCACAATTAACTTTTTGACTAAATTTGCTTAATTTATCATTTGAGCGGTGAAATGTGAATGGAAAACTTTCGCAAAAGTATGCGTTGCGAGCACATACACCAACACCACATTCGGTGTGGTGTGGGTGTGTGCGTGCACTTCAAAAGAACGTGAATTGTGCGGATATGTTTACAAGTTAACAAAAAATGCGAAGAATTTCAAAAATTTGTAGCGGCTAATAAAGCAAAAAGCTGAAAACATGTAGATATGTAACTACATACATAAGTATGTATGTATGCGAAGAATGCAAACAAAAATATGAAAATGAACTAAATTCCATAGAAAGCAGTACGCAAACAGCAATAAAGTGGGCGAGTGTGGGTGAAAGTACAATGAGCATGCCATTACACCCACACCAATGCATAAACATATGCGAATTTCATACACCCACTTACACATATTTGTTTATGTGTGTGTATATTTACATATAATATAGCTGTATGTGATTATATCAAAGCAGTAAATTCTTCAGCTATTGTTTTCTCCCTCTCCCATACTTTTTTGCTACTACTTGCAGCCAATGATTGATTGACTACATATTTGTCATGTTGCTGTCAGATTTTTCTTCGTCTTTGAATTTGACTACTGGTTTCGGTTTCGGTTTTGGTTTCAGTTTCAGTGTGTGTGTCGTTTTTGTTTTTCTTCTTTTGTCTGCTTCTTCATTGATCTCATGCATATTCTGTACTTTTTTTTTTTTTGTTATTGTGAATATTAATTTTCATGCGGCCACCTGTGCAGAATTTTTATTCATCTTTGTCAGTCGGAAATTTGCATGTCTTTGGTTTTCTTATTAGCTGGCTGACTCTAGTACATCAAAGTTTCTACCTCAATGGTGTACAAAAATTAAAATACAGCTTACTTTCTTGATTAGTAGGGTTAGAGCGTGTCTTGTCAAGATGTTTAGTAATGTGATTGGTTTCATAAATGCTTAATATTTATAATTTAAGAGTTTTGTTGTTACTACTATTGCAAGTACTACTTTCTATACCCTACTTTTAAACGATTGATTTTGGTATTTCTATTTTATATTTTAAGAATTTAGAAGCTATTTTCATCATTATTTTCATTTTCACCAGTCGCCATTAGGTTTTTTATTTTTATTTAAAGGAAAAAACATTTTGTATTTTTTTTTCACTATAAACATATAAAATGTAGTTTCACCTAAAAAAAAAATATTTAAAATATATATTTTAAAATTTTGGATATTGCAAAATAGCGTAAAATACTTTGCAAAATAATAATAACAAATACTTAGAAACTTTAGTAATTTAAATTAATTTTTTTGTTTCTATCTTTTCCGGTCAAACAAACTTGGAACTTGAACTAAACAATACAAAAGGTAATCGAAATCTTTCAAATTTTAATATTTTTATTCGATAGTTTCTTAAGCAAGAAATAATTCCTTTAATTCTATTAATATGCATTAGCATACCCTCTCCAATTAAATATATATTTCCTTGATTTTAGGGCACTCTGTTTTGTCAAAACTTTGAGAGCTACTTTATTAGTATTGAATGTGTTTCAGAAGTTCATAAAATGAATTCGCCACTTTACTTAATAGACATAACTTTTACTTAATAGACATAAGTAAATAAATACTTAAACATCCCTTTCAAACTACATTTACATATTAATTATGTCTATGTGCAATATATCGCAGTGTTCTGGTCTTATCTGCCTCACTCAACCAATACTATAATGTCCTAAATATCCTGTTTACTGAATCCTCAACTCTGCTCTTTTCTTTGCTTGCAACTTCGCTATTGTACTTTTTTTATATATGTAAAAGTACTTTTTTTTATATTGTTAAGTTTTTATTTTATTTTTATTATACCCTAAACACGGTAAACTCAATTTGCCACGAAGTTTGTAATAACCAAAAAGAAAGGTCGGAAACCCTATAAAATATATGTCTAACTATGTATATTATCAGCCTTGCAAGTTGAGTCAATTTAGCCATGTCCTTCTGTCCTTTTGAAATATCGCTCTAAAATTTTGCACATGTTCTTTTCACCCTAAGAAGCTGCTCATTTGTCGAAATCACCGATAGCGGACCACTATAGCATATAGCTGTCATACAAACTGAACGGTCAAAATAAAGTTCTTGTATGGGATAATTTTTTATTTGACAAGATGTCTCCACGAAATTTCGATTGAACTATTTCTAAGATAACGCAAAAATACATCTGAAGAAATTTTTGAAATCGGACCACTATAGCATATAGCTGCTATACATCCTAAAGTATCAAAATCAAGTTCTTGTATGGAAACTTTTTTTATTTGAAAAGGGTGTTCTGTCTTCAGTGCAACTGAACATTTTTTTTTTTTGTTTCTGCTCGCTTTTCTTCACTTTCTTATAGTTTTCTGCTATTTTAACAATTGTCACATTTGACACACGTCATTGTGGCGCTCGTTATTTATGCCATTTTGAAGTGTCAAATGGAGTGCGACACAATGGCAACATAAACATTAACAATAGCAACAGCAACAACAACAAGAATTACAATAGTATAACGATTGTTCATTTGTATATATAACATAGTTATATACGTATAATTGTTGTTGCTTGCGGCGGAACAATGAATATTGGTGAATTGCACTGGAAGAATGACGGTCTGTGTGTTTACTTGAGTGCAATATATATATTGACAGTTTCCTTGGAGCTGTTGCACAAAGTAAGCAACACTTGAATATACACATATTTATATAGATAGTTACTCAGATATTGCCACGTTGCAACACGCTGCATCTCTGTGCAAAATCGATGCGCAGTTGACTTTAGTTACTGCCTTTTGTCATATAGCAAATAAATAATCGTATCTCACGAATTGGAAGGCACCAAAACTCGCTTCAGCTCTGGCATCATAGTTATTTTTTTGTTGGTGCAACAACAAAAATAAATTATTTATGCATATTTACTTTGTAAGTTTGCGTGTTTACTTGTCTATAATTGTATATATGAATAGCAGACGATTGCTAGCGGCGCATAGCTGCGAAAAAGGGAGCAGGCATTCAGCAAATGTTACCCAAAGAAGCTCATATTTCTTTGCTGAACTGACTGAAATGTTGAATACTTTCAAAGTTTAAGTTGATACGTGGGTAACCTCACGAAAATAAACGAATACTTTTGTAATGTGAATTGCAAATAAAATTGAATTCGGACATAACTTGTTGCCATTTCAACGATAATTTCATGATGACACTCTCATAGAAACACTGTGATTGTTATTGTTGTAGCGGTAAAAAACATTCCTGCAGTAATTTCGAGGAATGGTAGCGATTTTTTTATTGGCCGAATAAAAAAGCGGGCTCGTTCCGGTTACTTAGACCCGACTATTGTGTGAACGGTTCATAGTAACCCTCGTTCCTCATAGAAACCATAGTTCCTCATATACACCATCGTACCTATTAGTACGATTTTTATTAAACACTGAATTTATATCAGGTATAAAGCAAACAAGTTTTTCATGCCATAAACCTCCACCAGCTTTGATTTCCTGTAGTAAGTATTTTGTGAGTTTTTCAAAAAATCTGTTTTATATCCGAAAAAAGTATAACAAAAAATTGCTTTTGCTTCACTATAAATATATTAGTTGGCGGTGACCCTCGTAAAAATTCTCGCAAATTCATATTCGCTAGAAATGTTTGTATGTATATATATATAGTCACTTATATCGTAGCATAAAGTCAGGTAATATTTTTCTTTTGCCTTAAATGTTGTTTACATTAATTTCCACTGAATTGCAAGCTGAAATATGAGTTTGGCATTGCGATGGCACATTGTTGATTATATTGAATTTTTCGTGGACTCAAGCCAAGTGACGGCAGCACATTTGGAAAATTATTTTGTCGCCAATTTAAACAGTTGCGTTCTCACAGCACAGAAATATATATGTATGTACTTGTATATATATTTCTATATGTAAATTTGTATTTTGTTATATATATCTAACACACAACTTAACTGCAGTTATGCAAGCCTCCAAGAAACGACGACAGTGAACACCTTTGTGTGCAATTCGAGCATTTATTTTTAATTATTATAAGAAACGCACAGTTATGGGAGAAATTATTTGCTTAAGTCGGCTTAAATGCAGAAACTTTTAATGAAATTATTTTCAACTCAAATATTTTTAATTAACTTAAATGCTTATCCAAACGCTTTATATACAATTTAGTAAGAGAATTCGATGTAATACTTGAATAAGACTATCTTTGCTTAATCCACTTAATAAGTTTACTTTAAAATAAAGCAAATCAACTCTGTTGACAAAGCGCTTGTGGCTTTTTCTGCGAAAACTACTTCACCTTGAAAAATATTAAAACATAAATTTCAACAAAGACTTTTTGTTTTCCAAGCAAACCACAAGAATGGCAACTACAAGTATAATCATAAAGACATATATACATATATACATATTTATACATACACATATGCACTGTATCTATATGTATATATTAATGTATGCACAGCTTTTATTATTAGTGTAAACAAATATCAGAATTTTGCAAGTAAACAAAAAGGCCAGATTTTTCTGTGGCTTTGAACTTTGGCAGTGACGTCATAACATTCAGCAGGGGAAATGGAGCCAAAAAAAAACTCTTTAATTCTAAATTCTTCTCAATTTTGTATAAAATTGTGTTATTAACTTAAAAAAATCCTTATTTTCTAAATATGTCATAACCACTTGTGAATTTCAAAAACTGGATTTTTATACCCTAAAGAGGGTATATTAATTTTGCCACAAAGTTTAGAACACCCAGAAGGAAACATCAGAGACCCTATAATATATGTAGTCGCTCAGTTTTTGAGATACTGTTCTGAGATTTTGCACACGTCCTTTTCTCCCCAAGAAGCTGCAAATTTATCGAAATCCACTATAGCATAGAGCTGTCATACAAACTGAACAATCGGCATAAAGTGCTTGTAAGAAATCTTTTGTATTTATGAAGGGTATTTTAGCTTCGGTGCAACCAATTGTTTAAATCTTGGTCTTGATCCTTATCTTCAGCTGAATTAAACTTGCTTTCGACCTCTTCCTTAGGCTGCTTTAAGAACTCTTGATTTTTGTACAGATTTTCATAATTTACTTTACGCAAATTTCGGCCTTGATCTGCCAACCAGTTTTAGATTTAATAGTTTTCTGAATCATAGTAATATTTAGAGCGCTAAATAAGTTCAAAATCCATCACATTCCTCTAAATTCTCTATGATAAATTAATCGTTAGTTTTCCTGCCCATAGCCGCTAACACGCGACACCGGTTGACAGCTAATTTATCCACCCAGCTTGTTTATTAATTCCACTAAAAAATGATGTATGCGCATGCGCAGTATTAAAAACACGTCTTAGGCCAACAAGTCTTCAATTAATTTTCAATTTGATGCCAATTTGTTACAGCATTTGCATCAAAACATAAACCGTTAAGCAAAAACTGGTTGCTGGCGGACACCAAAGCCACGGTCACTTAGCAGATGGTCGCGAGTGAAAAGTAAAAAAATATAAATAAATTAAAGTTGTGGTTACTGACTCAATTACTCCAATTTTATGCGCATATCAGCGCCATAAAATCACAGCGGCTGTCGCATACTTATTCCACGCGATGTCATTATAAAAGTATCTGCCGCAATAAGAACGACCAAATACCGGAGACGGCCAGCAACAAAACCAGCAAACAAATAGACATAAATTGCAAACATCTTGCAGCCAGTGAAATATCTACGGTAACGGTCTCAATGCTGACATAAGAGCGCTAAAGCACCAAAAAAAAAGAAGAGAGAACGGAAAAAATGAATGTCGCAGAAAAAATATTAAACCGGCGCAGAAATGCAAGGCTTGTTGATTTTTTCCGCTGATCTGTCATATTTCGCGCACACACTTCAACAAGTAAAAAAAATAAATTAAATAAAATAAAAAGAATAAGAACAAGCATGAATCGAAGTAGTAAGCAGAGGAAGTTGAAAGGCAATTCATTGCCGTTTGCGCCGCAATCGCGATTACAACGCTGCAACGCAGCTGTCATTCGATACGCAGCTGACATTTAATTTCGCCACAGTTGCAGCGTTGCAGATGATGTCGCCGTCACAGTGGCACAAAGCCGCAATCACAAAGTTACAGCGCCTGTCACAAGCCAACGTTCGACATCTGCAACGTCGATCGCTCTCAATTCCGCAGAGCTCGATTGTGTTTTATTCTGTGTTTTTTTTTTCGGTTTTTATTGCTCCACCGGTATTCTCATACGCTTATTTAAATACTTCTTTCTCAGTTGCAAAACAAATATTTATGTTTTCATGGCGATTAAAGAAATCGAGCAGCCGTCGTGTGGTTTGCCACAATTTAAAGTTGCTCGAGTTGTTGCTGCAATCACACAGTTTGTATGGCAGACGTCTTCAGTGGCACCCGCTGATCCCGCTATGTCTCATACTACAACGTGTTTAGTTTATCGAAAGGTATCGACGACCATCAAATGTCGCCTTGGCATATCTGTTTCGTATTTCATTATTACTTTTTTATTTTTCTTTCTATTTTTTTAAATTGTCTCGCAAGTTGTCGTTGGTAAATTGATATTTGGCAGAATGTCTATAATTCTCGGTGGTTTTGTGACAAATTGCAATTGCAAACTCGGCGCTTACATTGTAGCGCTATTCAATTTGCACTTATTCGTTGTGTACTGCGCGGTTGTAAAGCGTCTTGTAGCACTTCATGCAGTATCTTTTTTCACTGTTTTTGCTTCGGATAAACGAAAATAAGACTTTGTTGTGGAGTTATCAATTTATCAATTAAATACTTTTATTCCTTTAATTTATGGAAAGATTTGTTATCATTAATTATCTTAACGGAAATCCATTCGAAAATTGGAAAATATTGATCTTCAACTAGCTCTTGTTCTTGGTATTGTATTTAGTTTGACATTAAATTTAGATATTATTAATTTAGATATTAGTTTGTACTTGTTTTGGATTTTTTATAGTCCTAGGCATAGTTTTTGCCTTCCATGGTCTAGGTATTGGTCTTGGCTTTGGTCTTGATCCTTATCCTGATCTTGCACTTGGTCTTTGTGTTAATCTTGGTCTAGGTCTTGGTCTTTGTATAGGTCTTGTTCTTACTTGGGTATTGGTCTTGATCCTTATCCTTATCTTGGTATTGGTCCAGGTCTTGGTCTTGAGCATTGGGCTTCAGTTTTTGTCTCGGCCTTAGTCTTGGCCTTGGTCTCGATCTGTAGGCTTTAAGCTTGAACTTTGTCTTAGTCTTTATTTTAAGCTTGATCTGTTGTTGATCATCGTCATTTTTTTTAACTTGGCTTCATTTTCTGCTATGAGTTCGGCCATGGGCTAGACATAAGTTTTTTTCATCTTTGTTGTTATTTTGGTTTGATATTGGTCTCAGCACTGGTCTTCGAATTTACACTGATCTTGCCTTAGCCATTTTTTTAGCCTAAACTTTTGATTTGGTTTTGGTGTACACATTGATTTTATAATCGAATATAAACTCGTTCGTGGTTTTAGTTACTTAGTCAGATATTAAGCGTTGTTTTAGGTATTGGTTTTCTTTGAAATTTCTGATATTGGCTTCCTTCTAAATTGTATTGTCTGCGATATAATCTTTTTTGCAACAACTGTGTTTGAGACTAAATCAACCTTACCATTTAAGATTTTTTTGGAGTTGCCACCTTTTTGTTATGTAAAATATTAAAGTTTTTTAAATCGTTGTGGATTTTGGTATATTTTTTCAAAATAACGTTACGAAACGGTAGATATTTTTATAATATACCATATATCATTCTGCTTCTTCCTTTTTTCTATAATACTTGTAGATTTAAAAACTATAGTATTTATGTCAAAGCTGTCAAAAATCATATCGTAGAAAGGAAATATAAAGAAAATTGTAATTCGACAACGTAGAAGTTTGCGCAAGCTTCGCTTTGTGCTTGCACCACTTTCTGTGACCGCAACTACGAAGGTTTTCTTTAATCTTCTTTGCCGCTAAGTATTCTACAACTCATTTATTTTTCTTGTCATTTTTGTTGTTATTTATTCTTTGCATAGTTTCGGTTTTTTCCTTTGTCACTGACATACTTTCCCTAAGTTGTGAATGGAAATTAATTTTTGCTTGCCACAGAAATGTGGCGACAGGAAGTACAGTGAAATGCACCGAGGAGCTATTGAAATTTGCAACCTCATATTTGTCAAATATACATAAGTAGGTAGAGAGATGGGTGACTAGTACTTGTGGCGCAACAAAAGAAGAGCTAACTATGTTTTCAGTTTAAAGCGAAATGCAACACTGCGTGACTGAGTAGCTTACAAAGTAAATAAGCACTATAATAAGCACTCGTTGATTATAATTGTGTGCACTGAGAGAAAGTGATTTTTAAATAAAATATTTTAATATTTTTTTGTGCACGTTTTATATCATATATTTTCATATATTTATATACTCTACGTAGTATGTCAGCATCAGGCTGATATCGAATCATTTGGTCTAAATGACAATGGTTATTAAATCTGACGCCTTGAAAATGTTTCTGCTGTCTTTTTAGCGACAAAAACTCCACTAATCACTTCACAAAACATCTTCTGTTGAAACAGCCTCAAACTACATTATCGACGACGATCATTAGTTTGAGGCAAAGTGCCTGCGCAATTATCTCGAGTAAACTACAGATGTAATTCTAGATATACGCTAGTCCCCAAATCAAAACATAGTTTCATAAGATTGTATTATTCTTCAACGAAACAAGCCAATTGAACAAGTGGAACATGACAATGAAGTAGAGATATATTAAAATTATAAAGTATTATAAAGTCACATTAAATGATGATCTCTTATAGTAACCGAATGACAATCCGACAATAAAAACGGCCAACTGAACAAGTGGAACACATTTCTCGCCTGCCGATGTGATGATTGCTGTTCAGCGAATCGCCCGAAGAACTAATCATAAATTAAGGGTAATATTTGATTATTTAAACGGGAAGATCTACTGTGGGCTAGCCTAACGCTTCGCAACTTCTTTCACGAAATGAAACGAGTTTAAAAAGCAGTTTTCCGTGAAAAAATGGCGAAATATTCCTTAAAGGATATTCGAAAAAAATATTGTTTAGACTTTTTAGCCAAAAATATGGAAGCTCATTAGGCTCTGCTGTAGATTTTCATTCTCTACACCGTGCTCTG